AGAAGAAGATATCAAGTGATAAGGTTGTCTGATGAATGAAAACTTGACTCTACCGGGTAACGCTTAAATTACTCTAATATACTTATTTAGGGTGATCATTCAAACACGAACATTTATCCCAGATGCATAGCAATGAAGTTAAACCCAAGAAATTCATGTCAGAACATGTCTGAGGTTTATTAAATGGATAGATGTTGGGTAAACAGTCTGTGTTATCTTCTATACTACGAACCCCACATCCGTCGCTTTCGATATGAGTAGCCACTTACTTACTAAAATATAAAAATACCCATATCAACAGCGATATTCAATATTTATCCTCGTTAAATTAAAGGCCGACGAATTACCTAGAAGGTCATAAGGAGTGAGGTTTTCCTTTCCTCTATTCTGGTTGCTTGCTATAGAAACCTACCCTATTTCATTAGCTGAAGCCGTATTTCAATGATTTGGGCAAACCACATATCAGATCTAGCATTCCACGATCATAGCTTTATGGTGATTATTCGGTGAGCGTAAATTTCAAGGACTATCAAATACGCAATGGAAAGCAGAAATTTTTGAAGAGTTTCAGACGCCTCATTATCGGTATATAATTTAGCCCTTTCATCAAACTTACCAAGACTTTACCAAAATCTAATCTCTTTAAGTGGTGGACCTTTGCCACTGATTTTTCTTGTCTCTTTACTCCATTCAGCGCTCAATTTGCCCGTCCTTTTCGTTTTCCGATAGTCACCCACGTGCCACATTCCCCAAAAAAGATGGACTTCCAACAAAGTCGCCAAATTCTCATCTTAAATTTTAAGTCCAATTTGATTTGCCAACGTGCTCTTTGAAATGCCAAAAAGATTACTGAGGAAAAGGATTCTGTAACAATTGTTTATAAAAGTCTCGATAATACTTGTCTAAATTTAAGTAAAAAAACTAAAATTATAATCAATGCATTAGAAATGAATATATTTCTTTGTTAAGCATGATTAACTATAATATTCCATGAACACCCATTAACAAGATCCTAAAAAAAAAAAACTCATTTTAACGCCCGCAAGAGAGGAAAGTAAATAGAGACTTTTCAAAAGTTCTTTTAAACCCCACGCCTCGAGATTTGAATAAGTTATTGACCGCCTCCGGCGCAGTTAGCCAATGTCCATCATCCACTGAATTGTGTGGGTCATGCGCAGAGTTCGTAAGATATGACTAATGACTAATCGTGCGTAGCACGATCTTGTACTCCGGGTGCACCTAATAACGTTTTAACATGAATATCGCGGCTTTGAGTTTTAACCCACCTTCTCTTTTTCCCAACCAACATTCGACACGTGGTCGAGTCCGGTCACGTGAGTGGACCCCACTAGTGCACGCTATTGGATTTTGCTTTGCCGTACCTTGCACTAGTAGTGCACGTAAGTTGACCCAAATGGAGGCCAACCCAAATCCTCAATAGGATTGGATAGAGAAAGGAGCACTTCCCCAATTCCAAAACGACTTTCATTCAAGTTGATGGAGTTGTAATTGCCCACGTTAGCCCCCAAATTGATTGAGAGAGAGAGAGAGAGAGAGAGAGAGAGAGAGAGAGAGAGAGAGAGAGAGAGAGAGAGAGAGAGGACAAAATTCATATGAAGGAATGGTCAAGATCTAAATCCGCTTTTGTTATCTTCGTTTGAAGATTGGTTTGCATGGATTGTCATTATCATTTCTCCCTGAAGATTGCCCCTTTTCTAGGAAGCTGCTTCCCTTGGTGACCTACAAATTGGACCGCACATCTTTTCTTCTTTCTTTCTTTTTTGTTGTTGTGGGTGTGCACTAAATCTTCTGGATTGATTGATATATGGTATTATTAGAATGAAGCGTTTGTAATTATATCGTCTTTAGAACATAATTGAAATTATTCCCCTCATAGTAGAGCTTTCTCTCTCTAAAAACGAGGAGAGAGAAGTCATCACAAATTAATCGTTTTCTCCTATTTAATCATCTTCGTTGATTAGTCGCACGTTTTATTCACTAAATAAACCTGATATTTTTCATTCGCATCTAGGCTCCCTTTTGTCGGTAAATATCTCTCTTATGTTTAATAAAATCTAATATCTGAATTCTACTTGATTAGGTAATTAGGTACGTCAATCAAACCAGAGAAACGCGAACGGCCTATGACATTCACGCACATATTGTCATTGGTCATACACAATTAAGGTGAATTTTCTCCATTGCTCTCCCGTTACAAATAATCTCACCAAGACCATTCTCTCGTTTCAAACACCTTACCTAATAGCCTTTCTTGCTTCAACACATGATCCTACTCCATCGTCATCAACCCTCTTCCTCTTATCTTTACTCGACACATAACCACGGCATCGCTTGATCATTTATTATAAGCAAGACTTGGATCAAAAATCAAATGTCTACCGACATCACCTTATTAACTGCCGCAATGCCCTTGGAATATCCTATACCAAACGATCTTCCCTAGCAATCGCAACAACTGCCAGGTCAATGTTCTCTGCTTACATGATTTCAACATGCTAAATTCTGAGCTTTGCCACCAAGCAACCATAGTTGGAGGACCCCGATCGAGCCGACTCAATCCTAGTTAGCTTTTATTGACTGCCCTCTCATATAGAGATTCCGAAACATGTGTAACTCTCAACTCTCGAGGATTCATACAAGATATACCGTCAGTGCATAATATTTTCCATACAGACAATCACGAAATGGAAATCTTTTTTTAACTATAACAAAATGAATTCATTTGTCAAAACGAAAAACTATATACATGCCGACGCCGAAATCCTAGTTGCGTGTTTTTAAAGCTCGACAAGCTCATTTCTCTCGAACTCCGCGTGCTCTTAAATTTGCATTAGTCACTTTCACGTCATTCTATGCGCAAGGAGTGGATGGCGATTAGGAACCTCTAGGACTCGGTAAGCAACCACGCGTACAACATTTGGATTGGCGAGCATGCAAATGTTGACATTAAGCCAAGTCAAGGCCCACCAAAGGCACCAGCACGATGAATGCGACGCAAGAATCCGAGGTTGAAGAAAGGAAAATTATAAGATTTAAGGAAAAAGGAGAGTTGGCGACTTGGGCAAAGGGCTGTAGTCTGCCACGTTCACATAATGGGCGTTCGAGGGGATTAAGATTGGAAGAAAATGAGAACCAAAAGGAACGAATGAGTCAAATGTGTCTCGTCAACCTTGTATTTTTTTCTTTTCTTTTCTTCTCTTGATTTACGAAATTGCCAGTCAATTCAACATCAAACATCTCTATCCGCTAAAGACTTTGCGACTTCCGAACCTCCAGGAAACTGCTTCCCCGTGAAGAACAAGATTTCAGTTTTTTTTTATAATCTTTGATCTTCTTCCGTTTGCTGATTACCCTTGTGAAAAACAAGGTTTCTATTCTTTTAAGTTACTCATGTTTCGCAGAAAATGAACTATTGTGCGAAAACAAGGTGTAAAATCTGTCTCTTTCCCTGTCTACAGTGTGAATTGAACTATGTTCAATCTGGTATTAATGTTCATTGAGAATGTGTAGGTCCTTGATATGCACCTCTTCGCATGTGTATCAACTTGGATTTCATAATTAATGGTGTTTAAGCACCTCGAGTTTGGCTAATCTTTGGAAATCAGCCTCTTGAGCTCTGCATATGCCTATACTTTTGCTCGACTTCTTGTCTCCAAGATTAATCATGAACGGGTTTGCTTCGTGATCCGGCAAACGTGTATTGCATGAATGATGTTCGATTTTTGGAAATACTAAGGCCTGCCCAATGACTGCGGGCCTTCTATTTGATTTTAGGCCCAGATTCTGTCCTTGCCAAACCTGGTCTTGCCTCTTGGACTTCCATTTCCAATTTGCTCTTATTTAATTGAACGGAGGTTGCGATTAGGCCTAGCCCATGACCGAAGTTTTGTACGGCGTTAAACAAGCTCCTCGTGCCTAGTTTCTCAAGTTCAGTGTCACCATTTTTCGCTTGGGTTTTGAATCTAGCGCATATGATTCGTCTTCGCATTACTCTATGGACGATATGATTATCACATTAGACGATTCTCCTGGCATTCATGATCGATGAAAGATAAGGGATCTCTGAGTTATACTTTCTGGGCCCTGAGGTCACCTCTTCTTCTGATGGATATCATTTTAGGTTGCGTATGCCTCAGATCTCATTGCTCGAGTTGGTTTGACGAACAGCAACATAGATTTTACACCTCTTAAATGATGGGACTCCCTTGAAAGAAGCTAAACGTTAGCATTATCAGCCATATGATGCTCTCTTGCACCTTATTCATTGTGTCACATTCCGACTTTCACCCTGGTGGCTGTTCCGATGCCGATTGGGTTGTGGGATCCTACTGACTGTCGATCCACCACCCGTTATTGCTTTCTTTTGGGCAATTCCCTTGTCTTGTGTTCTAGCACTAAGGCTGACTGTAGAGCTGTTGCAGATACCACTCCCGAACTTTTACCAGTACGACGGCTGTTAGAGGATAATGGGTGTGACCCGTGATGGTGCTACTTCTCTTTACTGTGATAATCGCAGTACAGTTCAGCTTGCCCATGATGAACTTTTCATGAGCGAACCAAGAATGTCAACTTCTGTATATTTCTGTATATCGGTGAGCTATTACTGTTAATAGATGGAATATGGAATTGGTATGCTAGGAAATCGGTTGGTGTATCTGTCAGTTGATTAGGTGTCTGTCTTGTACATGTCTATATATTCGCTTCCTGTATTACATTTAAATCAGATTGAGCAAATGAAGTACTTCATTAACACTGTCTGATGGGGCAAGTAACTAAGTATATGGAGTTATGCGAAATAGAGATGGTGCTGCTCCTTTTAGTCTATATGACCCGTCAAGAAAAAGAGTAGTCCTGGGCGACTTATGAACTCGTTCCATACTTGGCTACGTTGATCTTCAAAGCGCTCTCCTGACACAATTTCTTTTCGAAACTTGATGTAATCTGTACAGCAAGCACTGAATTTTGCATTCGTATACTCACAATGTCCAAAGCCCCGAGGGGCAAAGCAAAAAGGATGAAAAATAGACAAAGACAAGCGACGGTCAAACTGAAAAGCAACGAACATATCAGTTTCTTCGATAGATTCACATTGTTGAAACTGCAAAATCCATCAACCTATATACGCAACATAGACCATAGGATGGATATTGATGAATTCCGACCTCCAAAACCTAAGGAAGATCTTCTGTAATGAGAGGCGCATTCGCAGGTATCATCGAATATTCCAAGCTAACCATCAATTTATTACTCTCTTCGCCGTGAAAGTTCTTGCACTCGTAGTAAAAAACCGTGTAAGCCATCAATCCGAACATCCTCACCAACCACAGTGAGTTCAGCATCACCAAGCCTATCACAATGTATGCCCCGTTGGATTGTCGAATCGAGACCAACCTCACCACCTGACTCATTAGGATTGATAAGGCCATGATCACGAGGCTCAACGCAAAGCCGTGTGCTTTCCTTCCCCTCACTAGCCGCCCCGCCTTCGCGAGCGCCTCATGTCCACTCTTGTCCTCTTCCAACACGGACACAACGAACCCGAGGGTCCAAACGACGGCCAAATGAGTGTACAACAAACCGGCCAAGATGCATAGGATCACGGTAGCGATGTTTGCCCTAAGCAGAACAAGAGGGATCATAAGGTTTAGGACAATAAATAGGTAACCGTTGCTGAAGAGGGTGATGTAGAAGAAAGTGATTAAGGGTCTTGCCCAGGACCGGGCCACCGCGATAGCCAAGTCCTTGGTGGACAAATTCTTGCCCCCATGTTCGGTGGCGGAAGCGTAAATGGTCATGGCCGAGAAGAGGATCGAGCACAAGGAGCAAAGCAAGACGAAGACCCACTCGAGGGCGAAGAACAACCCTACGTTCTCCCGGATGGACAAGAGGAGGTAGGGGTAGTCAGCGCTGGTGGGACTAGTGATGAGCAACATGCTCGCTTTGGTGATGAGGTGGCTGATCGCCGGCCGGAGGGAGAAGACGATGGCGAGGAACAGCAAAGAGGAGAGCGAGACGGCGGAGGCGGCGATGCAGATCATGAGCCTCCCATTTCTGAGGAAGATTCTGTGGGCTTCGATCAGAGTTTGGACGAAGCTCAAAAGCAAGGCAAGTTCCATTGGCGATGATGGCGTGAAGATAGGAATTGTTTTGGTGGTGCTGTGGGAAAATTTGAAGGGCTCTCTGTAGGTGTTTGTGCTGGGAATACAGAGCCATGAGCCGTGAATTTTTTTTATGTGCGTGTGTCGTGTGTATGCCGGGTCAAGATATGCTGATTTGACTGCGTCCATTCCAAGTTGTGCTACGGAAGAAGTCTCTCAAGTTTTCAGTCCGCACGATTTTTTCCTCCTTGGGGCAATTCTTTTTTTTGATTCTGTAATGTATAATATTCTTCATTCTCATTATTTTCTGAACGATTTTCAATCTAAAAAAGTTTAGTGCATTGACACGGAGACGATATATAGATGACCATTATAATGCTAATAGCCACTATAAGCAACGTCATCGAATGCACAAATAACGGGAAACATAAAAGAGAGATGAAGAGTTCGATTCCTCTTGACGTGTCTAGACTTGATAATATGGATCGGGACGAGATGTTCGTCCAGAGCAGTTCCCATGTATCCTATGAACATATGTGGATCCCTAGAAGTCACGTGATCATCCTTAAGAATAAATAACAATTACCCATTAGCGACATTCATATCACTACCGTTACATTCGCACTGCCTCGGGATCTTATCAAGTTAGGGCAAAACAATAGCCTCTATTGGGACCCTATTTACGGTGCTTTGATCGGCCGACATAATGCCACAAGAACTTTGGGAAATCAATGAACTAGGCTTGTAGGAGAAAGTTCAACTGCGGGCCGATTAAGCCTAAAGACTTTTATAATCAATCTAGTAGTTTTGAGCAGGGACAGGACTTTGAATAGGCCCCAAGCCAGCTTCAGGCATCAGGAAAACTACCTAGAAAAATTGAAAAAGAAGAAGGAAGAATTGAATGGCGTGATCGGCACTCGGCAAAATATGATTTTCCTTTTGATTTCAGCACCATAAAAAAAGCTACGAATTCTTCCATTATGCAATTGCCAGCAGTTGCGTTCGGCTTCCATAGTCAAGAAGAGGGCATGGGCATGGCTTATGATGATGGGTCAAGATTTTTGACCTAGTCCCAAAAGCTAATCTAATCACTTTACATATCAAAACGAGACACCCTTTTGGTCAACATGGGGGGCTAAGCCAACTTCCGAACCTCGAATTAGGAATGGTCCCATTGCCTACCCCTCGTGCGATCTCATAAGTGCGCACCAGGCCCCGTGCGGGGGTCTACTCCTACGTTCTTTTCGGAAATCACGAGGAGCATTGCATTGACTAGGCTTCCCTCCTAAGTCGCATTGAATGTACATTTCACCGTTCTTTTGTACCCTTTTTTTCCTCTGCTTTTTTTGCCCAATTGCCCATATCATCAATTGGACGTAACTTAGGCCGGCGCAAAATCCTCTCCAATGATTGCAAAGTGATCCCCATGAAATTCATACGTACAAATACCATCCTAAGTTTTGCACTGTATAAAAGAAAAAAAAAGGAGGCGAAAAGAATACCAAGAAAAATCCTCGAAAAAATACAGAGAAAAGTTACATTACGGGTCGGTGTGATCCGCGATTGCGAGCGGGATCATCTCGCCCTCTCCTCCTCCTCGTCCTCCCCTATTGCTGCTGCTGACGCCGCCGGCGGCGGGGGGCCGCCTCTTGGTGCACTCGCAGTAGAACACCGTGGCCGCCACGTAGCTCCACAGCACCACCCCTCCGTACGCCGGGATCAGCCACGCCCGCCACCTCACCCCCACCGTCCACCTCACCATCCCCTCCACCGACCCCCAGTCCTGCCCGTCCATCTTCACCTCCGCCGCCCGCCAGATCCACCCGGTCAGCGCCGCGAAGAAGCCCGACAGGGCCCACCCGCCCCACCTCCGCCTGCCCCCCTCCCCCATCAGGCCCCACCCGGCCCGGATCGCCCCCCACCCGAACCGCTCCTCCACCACCGACACCACCATCCCCAGCCCCAGGACGGCCGCCAGGTAGATCTCCGCCGCCAGCCCGGCGGCCACGATCAGGAACCGCGCGCCGCCCCGCGAGCCGGTCACGGCGACCAGCGTGGCGGGCACGCTGAGGTAGATCCACATCGAGGCGTGGACGCAGATCGCGGTGGCGAGGGCGCGGGGGAACTTCTCCCGGACGGGGGAGAGGGAGGAGCGGAGGGTGGGTCGCCTGCCGGAGAGGGAGGCGTGGGCGGCGCCGACGGCGGAGACGGCGGCGGCGAGGGAGAGGGCGAGGGAGGGGAGGGAGTAGGAGGCGCGGAGGCGGAGGAGGGAGAGGGCGGCGGCGCGGGACTCCTTGAGGACCTGGCGGGACTCGAACCGGGTCGGGGCGAGGCGGGCGAGGGACTCGAGGTGGAGGACGCGGGACTGGAGCGGATGGGCGGAGACGGCGAGGGAGAAGAGGAGGACGGACAGGGGGAGGGCGGCGGCGGCGAAGAGGGAGAGGAAGAGCCGCTTGTTGCGGAGGAGGACGGCGAGGGAGTCGAGGAGGGTCTTGGCCGGGGACAGGGCGGCGGCGCACCCGACGCGGAGGCTGACGGCGTCGTCCCGCTCCGACATCTGCTCCCCGTCCGTCTCTCTACTCTTCCCCTCTCTCGAAGGCGGCGGCGGCGGAGGAGGGAGGGGAGGTCGGGGCCTGATCGGAAGGTCGATTTTGAGGGTGGGGCTGTGTGAAATTACGGGGCCTGCCCCTGGCGGAGGAGGAGAGAGAGATATCTAGGAAATATCGAATCTGGTCAGGAGACAATATGAAAATACGGTTAAAAGGGCTGTCTGTCCGGGTTGACCCTTCCACAGTTTGCAAAAAATTTTTTTTTTAATGAATTCAGATTCGATCTCTTATGGAGACAAGGATGCTTTTTGTTTTGCGTTGCGTAACAGACGGAGTGAATAGACTTTGATGAGGAAATTTCAATGTTTATCTTTGTAACTCTAATAAGTTTTAAGAGGAGTAATGTAGACCCATCACGAAGGACTTGTTATCCAAATGATCCACCGGCTCAATGGCTAGGTAGCCTGTTAGGCATGTGGGACGTAAAAGCTCCATACATCGATTCGAAGTTATGAGCCATCACATCCCCTTTGAGTCATGATGATTCTGACGAATTTGAACTCGATATAAATCCATTTGACGAAATTTTCTGTCTTGCTACCCGACCCTTTATTTGCCTCGAGACGCGCACACGCCCCTCATCACTGAGATAAGACATTCGAAATATAGCCAGTGCAGGAGTGCTTGAGGTTCAAGTTTAGATAAGGGACTCAGCTTTTACTTATCGAGATGGGCAGGTGCGAAAAGTTTCCCCCAACAATAACAACAATTAAGAATTTCACCCCCAGAAGGTTGGATCTCTTCCATCTACACTAACCCTTCCAAGGCCGGCACATTGCTTACATTCGTTGTCTTATCTCCCGATTCAAATGCAAGGCAAAAACGACACAATCCATATGAAAAACACATTCATCAATCCCTTTCCCACAACCTTATTTACTCGAGCCAATTCACGTCCAAACGCCCAACAAGTATAAATTTGTCAAGCGCAGACCGTCTAAGCCACAGGCAATGAAGTTGTAATCGCCTGATGTCGAGGACGACAATAAGACATTCAGCAATCTTCAGCGAATTGACTTCCACATGACAAATGGGAATGTCCGTAGCACACGGATCATAAACATGCTAAACCCACTCGACGCGTTGTCAGATACTAGAGACCGGTGTCTGCTATCATGCAATATATTTCTCAGATTGTGTGCATGCATGGCCATGATTGTGAGTCCTCCTCTGCAAAATCTCTTCTGATCCAGGACACAAAGCAAACATTGTCCAGTGAACTAAGACTCCTAGGCTTCCAAAAAAGCCAAATGGTCATACAACCCTTCACGCGTTCCCCCCCAATTGATGCAGAAGCATATCGGGTCAGGCAAGAAATTTATCATATACGACTGAATGTTGATAACCACACTGCCTGTATATTCAAGCTTCCTACAGCTACATATCCCTTATCTTAAATGTAAATCAAGAATATCAGCATATATACAGAGTACAACTGCACAAAGGTGTCAATACCTTCACAACATACTAGATCCAAGCAAAGGATTTGGTGATAAAGTAAAACTCTACACGCAATTTATCTTAAGTTAATGGGATCATGCTTCCAAACGAATTAGGCATTCTGCCACTAACTTTAACTGTAGCATCCACAAATTAAACTTAACCAAACAAGTTTTGCATATAACGTAATTGCTTGAGGATGCTACCAACACCTTTTTTCTTCCAAAGCAGACGCACAGCTTATAAGAGGAAACCCAGCAGAACGTATACTGACCATGACTTCTGTAAGCAATGTAATTCAAGATAGCAATCCAACTTGATGATATGTTCTTTGGAGGGCCACAGATAGAACGATATTGTGCAACAGAATCTTGTACTACACAGACTGCACAAGGCCCTGATCAAAAGAAAAGACAAAAAAAAAAAATTGTTTCCTGAAGCTGTGGTTGGCAGACTACTTTCATCTTATCAACCATGAATGATTGTCCATTGTATTTCAAGAATGCTGATAGCTTAGTCTACCCACCACATTCCACATAAGAGTTGCGAGCTCTTATTTTTTGATGGATAAACAGTCCAACAGATTAACAGTGTAGATCATTGGAATGGTTCCACTCTTATCCCTAATCCACTACATAGCGGCATACCTCACCGAACATTCAATCACCAGCCCACCAAATAATTTGCCTAAACAAAACTCCCACAGTGGTATACAACCCAGTTGCCATCACCATGAATGAATCACTGTCTACTGGCACCTCTGAGAAGTAAGAGTTGGTGCCACTGTAATATGGCTCTTGAATCATCATTAGGGCCGTAATGAAATCAGAAAATCAATGTGGATCTGACATAGAAGAATACGAATTATATTATTATGCATCTTAATTTGCAAGCAGAAGACATTACTAGGAAGTTCAAGCCAACGTAGCACAGCAAGTTTAATTCCGATCAACAATCTGCAGAATGGATAGTTCATATGAGTAACAGTTATACTCGACCCTTGGCTACCGAAAGCCCAAAGATGAGGACCGTTCTGCTTGCAGTGTTCGCATACTAGAGTACAACTTCGGTATAAAACTAGTTACTTAGCATTGCCTTGGTTCAATTCGTAATATTCTTCCAGTCCGATGAGGTACATCAGTCAGCCAAGGAAACTTCCTACTTCAGCTGCATCTTGGTGCAACAAAACCAAAACAAGCACTGTACAAAATTAGGAACCAACAACTACGGAGAATATCTACAAAAGCATGAAAAGCTAAGCTCCACGCCCAATAACAACAAAACACAACATTCAACTAGGACAGCATTTTATTCACAACCAAAACTTCAACTGCACCGGGATTTCACATTTCTAGCTAACCAAACATAACCAAACTGATCCCAGAACAACTTGAGGAACTAAAGTAGGAAAGAACAAAATTGCTGCAGCTGGTAATCCACTATATTTCATTGCCCGAAAAAAACATAGATTGAATTTTTCAACGCATGACCAACAATCTAACCACTTTTCAAGGACTCCCGCAAGTCCTATCCGCCGGATCCCTCAAATGGGCGTCTCCCTACCGAAAGCCCAAAGCTGCTTGCAATCTCGTCCGTCGATCCCGGACCTCGTGGACCCCACCTGGGCTCGGACCTGCGACCGGCAAACCGGGCAAGCAGCGACCTTGACGAGCCAAGTGTCCACGCAGCTCCTATGGAAGACGTGACCGCACCCGACCAGCTTCCTGCACCACTGGCCTTGGCTGAACTCGTCCAAGCAGACCGCACAATCGGTACAGCCTTGATACTGTTGGCCCTGAGCCCCCCTCTTCGGGTACCTGAATTTGGGGAGCCTCTTGAGCTCGCGCGGGGGCAGCGCCCCGCCGGGGGCAGGCGGGAGGTCGATCTGGCGGCGGCGGTGGAGGAGGCCGCCGGCGAGGCAGAGGTGGAGGAGGATGATGGCGGCCAAGCCGAGGAAGAGGAAGAAGAGGGTGGTTATCAGGGTCATTATTATGGCCTTCAGGAGGAGGGAGAGCAGCTTCGGGTTCTGCTTCGGCGGCGGCGGCGGCCCCGGCGGGGAGGCGCCGCCGTGGCGGTGGCCGTGGGCGGCGGGCTCGCCGCCGTGGTGGGGGCCGTCGTGACGGGGGGGAGGCATGTGAGGAATGGGGCCGAAAGGATGGAGAGGTAAGGTAGAGAGAGAGAGAAGTTGCAGGTTCGATAAAGGAGATATTTTTTTTTGCGAACACGAAAGAGAGAGAGAGAGAGAGAAATAGGTGGATTTTATTTTCCAATTTTCCAATTTCTAAAAATGAGAGAATAAAGAAATGAGATTTATATGGGTCTGGCGTTAAAAGGACATCGTTGGATTGATCTGACGGGTGCAGGACCGCAGGCCTGTCGGTTTAGATGAGGATGCGTTTTGCGGCTTTCGTAGTAGGCACGAACCATCTTGAGCGGTGTATGATGATCCATCAAAACGGTGGATCGGCTCGAAAGTATTCCGATTCAAATTGGCTTATTTAGCCTGTTTCGATCAATTTTCATGTAATAAAAATATATTGATTTATACCCGATTCATATTGCTAAAATATTTTTATATATTCTTTTCGAAAAATGATATAAATAGTCCATGAACTTCTGTCCAATGTGCAATGTGGTCCCTGACTTTTTAATTTGTTTAACGTGGTCCCTGAAGTTTTGGTACATGTTCAATTTAGTCCTTGAATTATATGAAAATCTTCAATGTTATCGCTGAATTTGAATAAATAAAAGGACAACATTGAATAATTTCTTATAGTTCAAGGACTACATTAAATATATGGACATTGAACAAGTTAAAAGTTTAGGGACGACATTACACATTGGATCAAAGTTTTATGGACAATTTGTGTCGTTATCTCATTTTTTTTTTGTTTGAAAAAATACTTCAATATTTAACTAAATCTAGGATAACTCGTAGCCAAATTGAGATAAGAGTATGAAGTGAGCGAGCACAAAATCAAGTGAGGGCGTGAGAGAGTCATTAAGGTACGTTGGGTCTAAGTAAATTGTGGACTCATTTAACACTTATTTTATTTTGGATTTTATTATTCTAAACCTATTTATGACCCATCTATCGAATATAACTAATCTATATAACCACCTAAACCATCAAATGTGGGTTAAGAAATGAATTTATGACCCATTTTGATAGGTCTAGAGCAGAGTCTTTTTTCATGGAAGTCATTAAATTTCACTATACTTTCGAAAAGATTTAATGTGAAAATTATCAATCTCGCTCTCTCAATTTAAGAATCGATAAAGTTCTTCGAATCGGAAAGATGTCCTTTGTACTACCTCAATACAGTTTGTTCCGAGTGTTTGATCAGGGAAACACGTCCAACGTGATTTTAATCTTTTGCTAGTTTTGATGTATTCTATTTTGGTAGATTTAGGGTGCGTATGGTAACGTTTCTATTTCTGGGAACAATTTCTTTTCAGAAATAGTTTTTTTCTATTTCTATTTCCTGGAAGAGTTTCTGAGCAAAATAACGCGTTTGGAATCTGCACAAAATTTCTATTTCTAGAACAGAAATGTGTTTGATAACCGCACAAAATTTCTATTCCTGGAATAAAAAAGAACATAAATGCGTTTGGTAATCGCACAAAATTTCTATTCCCAATTTTTTGCATTCAAATCTATATCTTTTATTTAACTATAAGTACAAGTTATAAGTAAAAAAAATCAATAAGCATGGTTTATTGGTTTGTCTAATTCTTTTTAGGGGTTTAAAACCCCTTTTAATCCCTAAACTAAGGAATCTTCAAAAATACCGCTTGGGCACCTCAAAATTTAAATTTCACTCAAAGTGGGTGGCCACAGGTATTCTAAGCCATTATGTGAATTTTTTATATTTTTTGGGGTAAAATTTATTAAAATTTTTTACTTTCCCTAAATCTGTTTCTTTTTATTTTTCCGAAAATTTTTTATGAAATTTTTTAATTTTTTCAATTTCGGAATTTTGCAAATATTTAAGGGTTTTCTGAGTTTTTCTGATTTTTATGGATTTTCTGAGAATTTTTCTGATTTATATGAATTTTGGGAATTTTTTAATTTTCTAATTTTTATGGGATTTTTCTGAAATTTTTCTAATTTTTATGAATTTTCGGAATTTTTTAATTTATTCTAAGCCATTATGTGAATTTTTATTTTTGTTTTTTTGGGGAAAAGTTTATTAAAACTTGTTACTTTCCCGAAATTTGTCCTTTTTATTTTCCGAAAGCTTTTTATGAATTTTTTTAATTTTTTCAATTTCCGAATTTTGCAAATTTTTATGGGTTTTCTAAGTTTTTCTGATTTTTATGGATTTTCTGAGAATTTTTCTGATTTTTATGAATTTTGGAATTTTTTAATTTTTTTATAATTTAATTAATTTTTATAATTTTTTATTATTTCCGCGAGAATGAACCGGACTGGTGCTTTGAGACGGTTTGCGGACGACGGAGGATGGAGGAGGAGCTGAGGTCACGACTTGAGGACCGGACCTTTCTATTTCTATTTCTATTTCTAGGAACAAAGTAGATTTTTCTACTTCTTATTTCGCTCCAAATCTATTTTTGCCACTTTTCTATTTCAGGAAATAGAAAAATAAAATGCGTTACTAAACAGATTTTTGTTCTTTTTTTGTTAGGAAGGAAGACACAGAAAAATAGAGAAACAAGCGTTACCAAACGCGCCCTTAGTTTTTTCCCTTAAGTGCCAATTATTTTGTAAGTGCCGTAGAAAAGGGCATCTGTTCCAAGGAAGAAGGAATGAATTGTGCTTCACATACTTTATGCTTTGTTCTGAGCAGATCTACACTACTTTAATCTTTTGTGCTTAACATACTTTATGTTGACGAATTATTTCGAAAGTTCTATTCCTTCAACGATATTCAAAGCCATTAGGTGGTGGTAGTTCCTCATCCCATCATTGCATTATCAAAGTCTTTCTTAATCCTTATTCATTAGCTAAAACAACGCGCAAATTCCAAATATGAAATTCGCTTCGATCTGCAACAATATGCAGAATCTCAAAAGTTTGAGAGTCAAAGTTTCTTTCATGTAACTGGCTTCATGATGCGGGGACATTTAATATTTTTTGGAGACCACGAAATTTCTTTCGTAATATCGCGGGTACGAAGAACATATACTATATTAGAGATGCGTCGCAAGACACGAATGGTGAAAATGGAACACTCTTTTGTAGTTTTATACTGTTAACACAATGGCCTCAATCATTGCTGTTACGACTAATACTATCACTTAGAGGAGGGTGAATAGGTGATTTTACCAAATTGGATGATTTAAACGTGCGGAATGAATATAGTCGAGGTCAACAACTCGTATGATCAATATCAGATGGATGCGTATGACAAACTTGTATATAAGTTGTCATCAGATGATTGCATCCGATGACTATGCTGATGTTTTAACGAACTTGTTTGACATATATATATATATATATATATATATATATATATATATGCAGTGTAATGTCAATAATAATAAATGAAAGTTTAAGGATAGATAATACTGCACACATATCTTTATAGTGGTTCGGCTTTATCAAGCCTACGTCCACTCTCCACGCTGGCAGCCTATTGGCTGTGTTTCACTATTGAATCACCAAGAGATTATAAGAGTAGTGCTTATTAGATGATAGATTGCACTATCACGTACACTCTTCACTCAAGTAATTTTTTTTCTAAAGTAACAACGTGGAATACAGTAATCACAAGCGTGTAAGATCGAAGCTCTATTTAGAATTTAGAATTCTCGATTCTGGTTTTTTTTCTTGTTCGACATTTGCACTCCTTTTATACTCATCTATTTCCAATCTACCCATTGGACAGTCTTCAGAGGATTGATCTTCAAATCAATCCATTGGATAATCTTCCCAAAAGAAGATGCATAGCCGTTAGAAGAAGAACCATTATCTCCAGGTGATTTGATTGCCCATACAATTAAATTAAGGTTTCCATAAGTGTAGTTCTTCGTGTTTAAGGAACGATTTTGTGATTGCCAATTCGAATATCTTGAGATATCAATTTGATTGTCCTGTATAAACTTGCCAAAAATAACACTTATTGAATCTGACGAGGAATTATGAGTCTGATAATAAAGTCTTTTCATCGACTAAGTCTGATGATTTAGTATTTACCGGCATCAAATAAATTAAGTGTAATTGTAGTCAGAAAAGGATTATTTTGTCTTTCTTCAAAACTAATTAGAGATTTTCCTCAACAATTGTTACACTAGACCATCATATCTTGAGTGATCTATATCTGGCTTTTGGAATTTAAATCGCCTCCTTATCATCGATGGATCACCACTAAATTGAGGTGCAGATGTCTAATCAAATAAGTGTGACACTCACTAACTATTGTTTCGTGAAGTTTAATGTTGAATCATATGATTAAGTTTCCCTGTTATCAGTTCACTAACTTTGGGAAGTCAAGAAGTCTAATCATAGAAAAACATAGTAGTTGTTTCTCACATTTTCTCTTTAAATCAGTCTCAAGTTTTTTGTAACGGAGATCCACGTGAAATTCACCAAAACTTCATTTAAGTGTATGCAGAAGCTAGGGTTCGACTCCCCAAGTATATGGGTTAAATCTCACTAGATCTATAAATTGCAAAAGGAAAGGTATACAACCAAAATTTTGGTTCTACAAAATAGTCTGGATCACACTTTTTATATATAGATATGACAATGGTTGAAGTTTCTAAATTGAATACCCAATTCATAGTTGTAAAATATGACACTCCAACATTATTTATGCCAAAAATTATGGACTTATTCACTCAAAAAGATTGGTGAGATGGTGTGATCAAACTAGTCATCAGTCAAAGATAACTTCTCATTAATAAAAATCTTATCGACAACTTAAATCGGGGGAAAGTTCTGCACGTGTTTTTCATGGAATTTTGTTGAGAATTTTTTTTACAAAAAATTAGATGGTATAACAACTCGATCATCTATGTGCAACATTTGATATGGAGTTCTATAATTTTGAGAAAACTTGGCCAGAAGCTATAGAATAGAGAAGGGATTGAGCATTCATGAGAGTTTTTTGAGACCGTCTCTTTTGTAATTTCCATTCGTTCTAATAGTTAGTGAGAGTAACAATCCTATTTGTGAAAACACGAGAGAAGTGGTGGTACTTAGTGCGAAGGCATTTGTGTAG